AAAAGTGGGATTTATTTGACAGCTGCAGGGAAGCAAGGGACACCGGAGGGTAGCCGAGTGAGGGAGGGAGTTCCTGGGGAAGTTTCCACGAAGGACCGGCAGGTGGGACGACTGAGGCTGGGGTTCTGCTGCCGAAGCTGGGCCGGGGAGGCAACGATCTGTCAGGGAGGTTCTGGCAACGAACGCAGACGAAAGCACGTCAGACAAAGTCAGTCACACAGAGCACAAAGTTTCTCTGTTGGCCTGTCACCACTCAAAGGAGGATAATCCACTGGCGCTGGAGCACAGGTGGAGGCAGGCTTTGTCCAGCGCTGACTGCTGATGCGCGTCAGGTGTGGAGGAGAGTGAGTGAGAGCTCTCCCGTCCAGAAACACCGCCCAGCCGGAAAACACAGTCGCAGCCACAAGAAACAACAAGCACATACACTAAACACAGTCTCACACACAAAGCACAAAACTGGGATCACCACATTTATGACTTTACAAATGTCAACTTTTGGAAAGAAAACACATTAAGCACAGCTGAAACAATTAGTGGACAATCAATTAGTCAACTGACAAAGAAATATCAGTCATTGTGATAACTGTTGACAAGACTTGTGGTGAGATTTCTGACTGCTGTAGATATTTAACAAACTACACAAAACAGCCTTTAAAAGATGTAAAACAACCTGAATGTGTTGCAAAATCAACACAGGATGATGTGACATGACCAAAATGTGTTCAAAACGCCAAAAAAAGTGTGAGATGACTAAAATGTGATGACAAATGTGGTGGAATGTAACTAAGTACATTTACTCAAGTGTTGTACTGGAGGACAAATTTGAGGTGTTTAAACAGCTTTTATTACTTTACAAATGTGGATTTTTGGAAAGAAAACACATTAAGTACAGTTGAAACAATTAGTTGCTAATTAATTCGTCAACTGACAAAATTGGCAGTCGTGATAACTGCTGACGATATTTGTGATGAGAGTTCTTACTGCTTTAGATTTTAGCAAACTACAGACAGCATCTAAAACATGTTAAACACCCTAAATGTGATGCTAAACCAACACAGAATGACAATCTATCTCAACATTGCAGCACTGAGATTATCCTCTGGATCATAGAAAGTGGTTGGAGGGGACAGAAGATTAAAGTTACATTCACATTATAGCACAGTGAGGCTGTTCATACACATTCCTATGTTCAGATACATAACCATGGACGTCAAGCTGGTTACACACCGACCAGATGCACTAAAAACGCACATTCTCACGTACACGAGGTCATCATGTTGTGAGAAAACATTTACACTCATACACATTTATATGCCATGTGGTGACCGACCTCTGAGTTTACATACAGGACCGTCTGTATAAGGGGACACTCTGAGAGATATTCTTGCTTGATAAGTCCCTTTCAGCAACAGGAAACAATACAGTACATCTGGCTACAAAAGAAGTCACTACTAATCATCCCATCGCTATTTTAGATGGGAGTAAGGTAGAGTTAGAAGTAAAGCTGACAGAGAAGGATTTAATGCTCAGTCACAAGCAGGTATCCACCACTGAACGCTAGACTTTGACACATTAAAGGAGTGTCCTGAGTGAATGACCTCTGGCACAACCATGAAGGAAGTGTAATAACTAAACCAGTCTCCTCCCACTGTTACTACTTCTGGACCCCAAAACTCCAACAGCAGGTAGACGCAGTACTGTCTATCTGTGAAACCTGTCTGAGGAGGAATATAAGAAAGGGCATGACTACACCAGTTGGACTAACTCCAGTCCCAGAAGG